CAAAGGCAACCACCTGGGACAGGTCCTCCCGATTGACCCGCTGGCCCTTCTTCGCCAAGCGGCGAAAAAAATTGGCCACGCTCGGCAGTATGCCGTCAAGAATGGCCAATGAATTGTCTTTCGTGAGGTACTTGAATTTGTTCAAGTAGGCCGGGTACCTCTCTGTGTCCTCCTTGGTTTGTGATTCATCCATATTGGCCATGATTCAACCAGTTTAGTTAGGCCAAGGTCAAAAAGAATGTACAATGCAGGATTGTCATATTGCTGCACTAAACTAAACAGATTGGTTGCCAAAACACAGTGGGCAGAGATTGGCCATCCAACGCGTCAAAGCTGCCCATGAATGCCCCTCGATGTATGTGCTGAAGGGCCTGAGGATGGGCCAAAAACCACTGGGAGAGTTCCTGGATCATCCCATCCTTCCGATCGTCCGCTGCCTGAAGATTGGCCAACTGCTCCTTGCGGAGCTGCTCTGCCTTCTTGGTCTCGTTCTTCTCAAGCTTCTTGGACAGCTGATCGGCCTTGACCGACAATTTGCTGGTGCGGCCTCCCTTTTTGGCCACCATGATTGGCCAATTGGAATACTGATGATTGTCAACACTCACGGATTGGCCCTGGTTGAACCAAATTGAAACAGACAGGTCAGGCTGCATGCAAGTGCACTGCAGATTGAGTGACGTCAGAATCGAGAAGAATGACCCTGTCATGCAGCACTGGACAACAGCATAACTTAAATTAAAGCAAACTACTTACTTTGACTGATAGGTACATTGGCTGACTACAGCAAAGAGTTATGCCTGCATCTGTATTGCAAGTTCCAGGCCTGTCAGAGTGGCTGCTGCCAAACGGGACCAATGGACCAAGCACCTGGGCGGTGCTAGACATTGTTGGGGCATGCTTTGCAAAATTAAATGAAGGTGGCGCTCACCAGCAGATGCTTTTTACGTACCTTGTTCCCCTCGCAGAATGATCTGAATCAGCGTTGCATTGTGGATTAACCCACAAACCTAGACTTTAATTAAATTGAAAGACTTCTTGGACAGGCTCAAGAGGAGACCTGCACCTGGATTGGCCTTCGCAGTTTGCTGCAAATCCAAGGAATCTAACTGGCCTTGCTCTCTTCATTCACTTGACATCTGGCCTTTCGGAGAACTTCCTCAAAAACTGGCGCCACTCAAAGCACTGTGCTTCCCATGCCCTCTTCTTAACAGTGACGCTGGTGTCTGGCGTGAGGCTCCGGATCATTGACGCCCTGGGATTGTCCTGACACTGAACTTCCAGGTAGTACTGGTACTCAGGGCTCTCCTTGATGTTCTGAATCAATGCCAATCGCTTCCTTGTCCGCTCTTCCAGACAGGATTGGCAAATAAGAAACTTGGCCAGGGCAACTCCTTGGCAATTGCGGTTTGGGCAAGGAGTGTCGTCCATGTCTGCTAGAAGGCCCTGGGATTTGACAGATGAGCCAGAGAAGTCTGCAAAGGTTGACTTCCGATTGGCCTGACTGATGTGTCCACATGTAACAATGTAATGGGCAGACTCAGCTGTCATCTCTTGCAGTGCCAGCTTCTCAGATTTTAGGGCCCACACGCATCAATCAGTCACGATGCAACGGCAGTGCAATGGGAGGCCTTTGCAAACTCACACAGTGTCCGTGCATGACAAATTGTGATGTAATGGCTTGGTCTCCTTGGCTTACTTATATTTTATTAAAACACACAGACAGACTCACATTCACATCTCAACTGCAAGGTTGTTGCGTGGGCTGAACTCAATTGCTGCACTACAGACCATGGTTCTGATGTCCTAGGTGCAATGACCTCTGACCTGTGTGTCACTGAGCTCAGCTCCTTGCAGGCAGATGTGTGCAGCGCTTGCCTGGCAGTTCGCAATAGAACTTGAGTCAGTGAATGTCCACGCTGCTCTCCTCCAATCTCTGATGATACTATGACAGCATTATCTGCTGTTGCATGGCCACACCCTGACCTCAATAAATACACAACACTCAGCAGGCTCAAGTTTTTCCGCCTGGCACTACAAAGAATATTTATTATTAATTCAGCAGCTGACTGAGATGCCTGCATTTTGAAGAAGAAGTGGCCATAGGGACCTGTCATTTGGACATTGTCAAGGAGAATGCGCATGCCCATTCCCCTATTGAACACTAACTATTACTGTTAAATGACCATTGATCTGAGGTCTCTCTAGAGGATGCTTCCGGTTCAGTTCTGAACCAAGTTGTGCTTCTGGACTCCCTCTCCCTCTTTCCTTTCTCTCTCTCTCTGACTCTCTTTCTTCCTTCCTTCCCCTTCCTTCCTTCCTTCCCTCCTTCCCTCCTTCCCTCCTTCCCTCCTTCTCTCCTTCTCTCCTTCTCTCCTTCTCTCCTTCTCTCCTTCTCTCCTTCTCTCCTTCTCTCCTTCTCTCCTTCTCTCCTTCTCTCCTTCTCTCCTTCTCGCCTTCTCTCCTTCTCTCCTTCTCTCGCTTGCCTTTGAAAAATTTGGGCAACAGAGAGAGAGAGAGAGAGAGAGAGAGAGAGAGAGAGAGAGAGAGAGAGAGAGAGACAGAGAGAGAGAGAGAGAGCAGGCAAGGATTCAGGCACACAACCCTGATAGACAATCACCAGTTTTATCACTGGCGTCACTGACACAGGTTTGGCCTGAAGTGTCCTCAACTTGGAGCTGTGTGTACATGCCCAACAATCTGGCACCATGACGAACGCCTATGATGAGCCTATGACGAGTGAGAAAGAAACACCAGGGACGGACCTTCGGGCACTCTTGTTTTTGCACCATGCACTCCAGCTGCGTTGTTCAAAAAAATGTCACACTGAACTGCTGCAGGGCCTTTATTATAATACTTATCAAAATTATTTATTATATATTATATAATTTAATTTTTCAATATAATATATATATATATATAATATAGTTATTTATTTATTCAATTATTTATTTACCTATATGTGCCTGCCCAGAATTCAGAGTGGAGTGGCCACGTAAGGAAGCCTCTGCTAACTCCCAGTCTCCATCTGCAAGAGATTCTGTAGCAGTGTGTCGTGAAGGGCTGGAGTGGCCTCCTCAACAACATGTCGGCTGCTCATGCCAACGAGTGACAGTTCGATGTCCTCAAAGGTCACTTTCAAATCCTGCAGGAATGCCCGCATCTCCACCTTGTACGTGAACAGAGTCAGCAGGAATGTCAGGAACTGGTTGGCCACCTCAATGTTGGCAAGAATCCTTTTGAGAGTGGCCCCAAAATTTCCACGTGACCAAGCTTGAATGACCCTGTCACGCACTGAAAGTCTGCCTGGGGAGTTCATCATGATTGGCGGTGCAAGATTTGCACGCGCAATCTGAGCGTCCACATCCAGAACTGGAGTGCCCTGACTCTCGTCAAGATTTCCCCGCCTTGCAAAATTATTGCTCGGAATGTGAAATCTGAAGAAGGTATTTATTACAATTATTGTAGCCTATGACTAACTAATAAAAATGATTAAGATGCAAACAACTAAGAGTGGCAAGGGGCACGACAGAATTGAAGACATCTGCCGCCAGTGCGAGATTGGCCAGGTTGCGTGAGCCATCCGGGCTCACGCGGAAGACCTCGTACAGCTCGCAACAGACAGCATACACCTGAGTGCATTTGTCCAGAGTGGCCGGCACCGTCAGAATGGCCCCTTCTTCTGCCGAGTAGGATTGTGCCTTGCGCCAGATGCGAATGGCCAAGGACCACACTTCATAGGCATCAGGAGTGACACTGGCCATGACTACAGGAGTGGTGAACAAAAGCTTATTATTTTTTTTTAATTCTTTCCTTCTGCCTACATGAATCGAAAAATGGTTCAATTGGATTGTCACAACTTGCGAAATCTGAAAGGTCTGGTCTCTGAGTGGCCGTGGCTGCTGAGAAATACAAGACAGACCATACACTGGCAACACGGTCTATTATGCAGGAAAACCCGAATTAATTGGAAATGCCTTAAATATTCCGGAAAGCAACGCTTATGAAGTCCCAACTCAACTCTCTCACTCTGCAGGTAATCATGGCTGGCAGGCGGATTCTGGAATCCAAGAACGGACTGCAGCTGCATCAGCGAGGGGCGGGGCAGCCTGCAAGTGCAGCACAGTTTAAGGGTTAGCACAGGTTCAATTCACGATCCAAACTTGTCCTGGAAATTGAAATACACTTCTCCAATTCACCTGCCTTCAAGGAACATTGGCCCTTAGATTAGTACTTGTGCCACTACAAACCCTCAAAGACTTTCAAATGTAACTGTTGTATCATTCAGTGCATCATTCACTCTGATAATAACACATCTTTACATGTTACATGCCTATTTTCGAAACACATTGCTCATCACATGTGTGTCGTCTACCTATCTGTCTTACGCAAGTTCTGGAGAACACTGCACAATATAATCATAAGTGTAATCCTGAGATTGCCCAACCTATGCCTGAAGAACAGGCTGAATCCGAACTCTGAACTTGCACATTTTTGGCTGCAGCAATCAGGACTCAGGAGACCTGCTGGGACTCTGACTGTCTGTCCTCACAGAATGAGTGGCCCAAACATTATCAAGTTAAGTTTCTCATTTGTTGTATTGGCTTATTCGTCTCAGACTGACTACTGAATGCCGTAAAGGATTTTAGATTTAGATACTATTCATTCATATCTCATCCCATGTCCATGGACAGACAGCATTAGGGTGCAATGTCAAGTGCCGGGCCCATGTGACCTCCAGCACGTGTTTGACTGCAGCCCTGTCGTCTCCAGATTGGCCCCAGGACTTGGAGCAGGACCACCTTTGGCCACTGTTCATTACACGGAAACATTTGTTGAACAAATCCTTGTATACGCGGTACCCAGATTGGCCAGGAAGGTATGGAGTAGCCTTGGCAGCAGTCCACGTATCCTCTGACCTGAAGTTGACAGGTTTCCGCTTTGTTTCAGTGGGAGTGGCCTTGGTCTTGGAGCTGCCAGTCCTGATCCGGCGAATAGTAGCCGTGATTGACTCTGCTGCTGCTGCTGCAGCAGAGCGGCCCTGCTCATCCTGAGCAGCTCCTTGCTCATCATCTTCACCTCCTGACTCATTGGGGTCAAGGATTTCATCAAAGGCATCTGTGCCGTCAGAAGACAGGCCCACGAAATCATTGCAGACCCCTGCTCTCCAGGCAAGTGACCGCTCCAGGACCCCAGCCACTTTTTCAGAAGAAGTGGCCACTTTCAGAGTTGACGCCACAGCTTGCTGCAAAACATGCCCCAAGTTGTCCTTCTTGCTCTCAGAGCACACAATGCCAAACTCATCCTGCAGGGTGGATTCAATGTATCAGCTCAAACTTGCTTCATTTCAGTGCACGCATGGCAGGCTCATGCGATGTTTTACACTGCAGGACTGTGACGCATGAAAGCGACAATTGGGCCAGGACTTAATTTCATGTTCTCTTTTTGCAAGCAATGCGTCATTCCTGAAATTATTGAATGTTGTCAGACCCTCTTGTGCCTTCAGGAGCCTGCGGATCATATTGATTCCCACAGCATGGAATCCCTCCTGGGCCACGTATTCCAAGAAAGGAAACGTCTTCTTGCTTCGTTCCAAGTATTGGCCAGGGAATTGCTCCACAACAAAGTTTGCCCCTGCTTTTTTGGCCTTGGATCTGTTCTGAATGGCCAAATGAAGCGGTGAGATGGGCGCAGCATCCACCACTGTCCAGTCTGTAAAGGCTGTAATTGCATGAAAACCGACATCAGCACGAGCAGGCACGCGCCAAAACCAGGATTTACCTGAAGAGTTGCTAATGTGTTCCAGACTGACCAAGGCTGCTGCAGAAGACCCAGGCCAGGAACCAAGTGACAGGTAGGTTTTGTTGTTCCTGAGAAATGGAAGAGACTCGCCCCAGGACTAAGGCTATGCAACTAAAATATAAGAAAAAATAAGTATGAAGAAAATAAAGTCAGATGAGCTTCATTCGCACAATGAGGCCTCTGGCCAAAAAAGCTGTCCTCCACATGGACATGACTTGACCCAGCCCTGCAGGACCCTTCTTGCATGCTTCAACCAGCAGGTGTTGCTCAGCAGCCAGTGCGCAGGAATTTTGTGGGGAGAGGCCTGGCCATGTTTTCTGGCCCATAACGTCCTTCAGCTTCTGCGAACTTGCCTCTAACCTTTTCGTGTTGTGGATGCTGTTTGGCAGCTCAAAAGTGGCCAGACCAGCAGGCTGGTCAGGATCTGGGTCCATTTCAGAGTAGCCAAAAGACTCGAATATCTTGCCAGCGCATAGCTGGGACCAAGAATCAGTGGCCGTGAAAGAATGGGCCTTGTTTTGACTGCTCTCAGCCCTGCGAAGCTTGCCAAAGCCTTCTTCATTGTAGGTGAACGCAAGATTGCCCCAGAGTTGCCGCATCTGGGACACAAACTCTTCATCTGCCTGCCAGTTCTTGCGGCAGGCATCTTTGGCCACGTCCACCACCAGTGTGTGGCGCATTGGACTCCGCTTCGTAACTGTCTTGCACCATGGAGTGTTGCATGCAATGGCCATTTGGTCTGCTTCTTGAAGGGCCTTGAGCTCATTGAGAACGTCCTGGGCCTGGGATACTCCTCCACACGCAGCAGCCAGCCTCATGGGAAAGACCACATTGGCCATCCTGAGCTGTGATATGGATAGAGTTTAGTGTTTTTTAATAACATTTCTTTATGGCTTATTAACAAAAATCTTATGAGTAATTTGTAGGAACAACTTTTCATATATGTAGACGTCCTAAAGTCCTAAACTTACCCATAAAAGAACAGACTCTTCATATTATTATTATTATTATTAAAATTATTATTATCATTATTAAAATTATTATTAGAAGTATTATTATTATTGTTATTATTATTATATATATATATTCTTACATCAATCCAAAAAAAATCTACTATCATGTATAGAAAACTCTCACATACATTTTTAAACTCTTGTCTTAAACTGAGACAGGGATCTCGTACATGCAGAGAAAGCGCGAGAGCGTCACGGCATAGTGAACAAGCCGCTCATACAGAGTGTCCTGGTGATGGACCATGCCGTCATCAGGTTGAAGCTGAAAATAGAAAAGAGAATTGCCAGCTTCAGCCTGGCCAATCAAGCCAATTGACCTCTGGCTGTCTGCATCAAGGCAAGAACCCATGATTTTGGCAAGAACTTCTTTGAAGTGGCCATTGGCCTGATTCTGCCAGTATTCCCATGTTCCAGAGCGGCCTCGAACATCACGCCGCACCCGGTTCAGTTCGTCACCTTGCTAGCCCGCTAACCATTTAGAGATGAATATCAATAACCCAGCAGAAACACAAACACAATGTAACTCTAGGACTGGGCTACCAAGGCACTGATAGGCAGTGATACAGAGAACCAGGTGTTAATATTCGTCACCAAATCATAGTCCAGAGCCAGGTATGTTACAGCCACAAGTTTGTTCTTGCACTTGCTGTACATAGCCCGCCTCTCGCGCTGGCCAGCTGCCAGTGTG